TCTTTACTAAAAATAGAAACAATTAGCTAGGCATGGTGGCCTGCCTATAGTCCTAGCTACTTAGGAGTCTGAGGCAGGAGGATCACTTGAACCCAGGAGTTTGAGGTTGCTGTGAGGCCTGGGGCAACAGAGTGAGATTCTGTTTAAATTTTTTTTTTTTTTTTAAACTTCACAAAATCCTCTTACCCCAATTCTTGGGGAGGTGGATTTGAGAAATTTCTCCCATCTCCCTATTTAATACTATGTGGAGTAAACTCTTTCTCTGCTGTAAAACACTGCTGTCTTTGGGCAGGGGGCAGACGAACCTGGCTGGGCTGCAACAGCCCCCTAACCTGACTCTGATCCCACCATTTCCCTCCTTCACAAACAAAGTGCTGAGGTGATCTTTTCAGACACAAACCTGATCATGTCATGTCTCTGCAGAAAACCCTTTAGTAGCTCCTCAGCTTTCTTACAATAAAGCCCAAATCCTTAACTCAGCCTACTAGGCTGTACATGATCTGGCCCCTGCTGACTTCTCCAGCCTTGCCTATCACTATTGTTCTCATCTTTCTTGCTTTCTATTCTCTGGCTTGACTGGTCTTTTTTTTTTTTTTTTTTTTTTCCAGTTTCATGAACACATCTACTCTTTCCTGCCTCAGAGCCTTTGCATATGATGTCCCATAGCCTGGAATCTCCACCCTCTGGGCAGGGTCACCTGATCCATCTCAGTTTAATGTGATTTCTTTAGGCAATCTGTCCCTGTAACACACCACCTCCTGCCCCTGACTCCCTGTATTAGATTAGGTCTTCCGGAAACAAAATCTCATAACACGCTGCCCTTCATCATAGCACACTCATCTCAGTTAAAATGCTTTGTTTTTATGCACATCTCCAACATATCTCCAACTTAGGTAGGGGCCAGAGTACAAATAGAGGCTACTAACCATGGGTTTAAATATTTATTTATTTATCTACTGAGATAAGGGTTCACCCTGTAGCCCTAGGTAGAGTGAGTGCCTTGCCATCCTACCTCATGGCAACCTTAAACTCTTGGGCTCAAGTGATCCTCCTGCCTCAGCCTCCCAAGCAGCTGGGACTACAGGTGCCTGCCATGGTGCCCAGCTAGTTTTTTTATTTTTAGTAAAGATGAGTCTTGCTCTTATTCAGGCTAGTCTTAAATTCCTAAGCTCAAGTAATCCTTCTGCCTCAGCCTCCCAAGGTATTAGGGTTACAGACATGAGCCACTGAGCCCTGCCTGTGTTTAAATATTTAAAATGTATAACTCATGCTAACCCATTGTTACACAAAGTATGTTCTATTCTTCTACTTTGAAAATATATACTTTATAATGGTCTGGAAGGCCAGGTTCAAATTCCGTTTTATTTGAAATCCTCAGGGTTCTGCAGCAGAATATGGTGTTGTAGGAAGAGGCAGTTTTGGCTGCTGGACCTCAGCTGGGCCCATTGCTTTTCCCACCCTTGACGCTATCTTGGACTGCAAGGGGCTTTGTGTACAAGCATATGGACCTCCCATCTACCCATCCCAACTCTGCTCATAGTCTACTGCAAGCAGCCACCCTTGGACCCTGGGATATGTGTACTGGTAGTATGGTTCAGCCATGGGAGGGCAAACCCAAGGATGAGGTCTATGTGGGCCTAGAAGTGGGTTTGTGCCCTTTGGGCAGGGCATCCCTGGATATTTAGAGTGTGGTCCTCAGGGGTCTGGGGTATAGGCAGAAGAGAGTTGGACTCCTCATCCATAGGGTGGAATACGGTCAGAGGATGGCCAAAGCACAGCCTTCTAAAGAGCAAGGCACAGGGCAGGGGGCCACTGTTGCCTGGCCCTAGGGCAATTATTTGATGTTTCTCTATTTCATTAGTCTGTAAGCTCCATGAAGGCAGGGCTGGTGTCAGTCTAAGTTCCTAATGCCTCATGTAGAATAGTGTTTTGTACCTATTTGTCAAATGAATGCAGGAGGTACCTCAGGAAGAAGTTTGAGGATTTAGATTCGTTACTGAAGATCTAGATACCAAGAGGCAGAACTAGGAATGAGAACCAGTCTCATAGGGTTCCAAAAATGGGGGTTCAGTGCAGAGGAGGTAGGGGTGACATCCTGGAATGCTTGACTCTGTTTCATCTCTTCATATCCAACCCTACTTCTGCAGGCTCTTTGCCTGCCTGCCACTCTTTCCTTATGGTCCAATATCCCTCTGTTCATCTCTCCCTGACTTTATGTCCTTTGGCCATTGCTCTTCCTCTGAAGCCTGACTATTTGTCAGTTTCCTTGCACTGGTCCTAGTTTCTGGGCCCCAGTCTTACTTCACTCTGTCCCCTTCTTCTACCTTGTTCCTCTCCATCTCTCTGGGTGTCCTTTACTGCCTTCTTGATCCCCTCCTGGAAGACTTCCTCTCTTTCTTTAGTTCTCCATGTCCCTTTCCTCATCTCTTCTTTCTGTGTACATCCTTCTGTCCCTTGCCTGGGCACAGTGGCTCATGCCTGTAACCCTAGCACTCTGGGAGGCCAAGGTGGGAGGATCATTTCAGGAGTTTCAGACTGGCCTGAGCAGGGTGAGACCAAAAACAGAAAAATTAGTCGGGCATTGTGGTGGGTGTCTGTAGTCCCAGCTACTTGGGAAGCTGAGGCAGGAGGATCACTTGAACCAATAGTTTGAGGTTGCTGTGAGCTAGGCTGACACCACGGCACTCTAGCCTGGGGCAACAGAGTGAAACTCTTTCTCTAAAAACAAAACAAATTGATACATCTCTCTGTTCCCTTTAATCCGAATCCCTGTGAAACCTCTGACTTGTCCTGCCTTCTATCCTAGATCTATATCTACTCCTTCCTTAGCTAGTCTCCTAGCCTCTCTTTCTTCTGTCATTCTGGAGAGCACCCTGGCTTCATCCCTCTTTCCCTGTCCTCAGATGTCCTTGAGCTAGTTGGTCTCCATATTCATTTCCTGGTTTCCATGTAACTCCCCTTGGAAGGGCTCCACCTCCTGGGTTCCCACTGACTGTGGCAGCCTCTCTTCTCTGTGCCCTTGGTCCTTTCCTTTGTCCCAGCCTTAGTTCAGCCTTCACTCCTCCGACTGCTTTCCCTGGTTAGTGGTGCCTGGTCTGAGCCCCGAGCAGCTCAACTCGCCTGGGCTTGTTTAGTCTGACTCCCTTAGGTGGTTAGCGGCTTAGCCCTCCCATTTCTCCTTTGAGAACTCCAGTAAACAAGAGGATCAGCCCAGATCTGGCAGCTGCTGGGTGGGGGCAAGTGTCTGGCTAGGCCAGAGCAGGCATGACAAAGGGGCTGCATTGAATAAATACTTCTTATTCCTTCTTCAACCAGGGAAATTCTAGGGTTTCTTTCCAGAATGTCTGCCTGAGACCTATCTTCCATGGGCTTGTGTGTGGTTCTCTGTCTCCATGATCTCTGCTCCTGTTTTGTGGTTGGTTCCCAGGCCTTAAGCTTTTTGATTCTTCTGAGAAGTCATCACTTGATCCAGGCAATCCCACACAGAAGCCTTTTTATTTGAATGACCGAGATGGTCATTGTTCTATAAAACAAAGGTCCAGGTATGGGAAGAAAGTGGTGTCATCTGATCTAGGTCTTCTAATATGTGTGTAGAGAGCTCCATGGAAGAGAACACACACACACACACACACACACACACAGAGTTGACTGCAGACATTCTATAAACCAGGGGTTCTTAAATGTTTGTGCACATCAGAATTGCCTGAAGAGCCTGTTAAAACAGATTTCTGGACCTCACCCCTAAAGTTTCTGACTGAGTTGGTTTGATGTGAGACCAGATCATTTGTATTTCTAACAAGTGCCCAGGGGATACTGACGCTGATGCTCTGAGGATCACATTTTAAAAACCACTATCTTAGGCAATCTGCATATATCATCTCTTCGCTAACATGTAAGGCTGGGACCAGGTTAATTTTTATAATTGATAACTCTTGGAGTTATCCCTTCTCTCTAGGATGGGAAAGGGGACCCCTTAACTCCATGGGTGTGTTCAGGTTTCCTGAAAAGGTAGGGAATAGCCTTTAACTCTGGGAGTTCTATTCTAGTACAGGCCCTATTTAAACAGCTTCAGACAGGTTTAAACATCTCCTTGGTTAATTCCTTGTATCCCTGTTCCAACTCCTACTTGGGGATGATAGCTCTAAGAGGTGTTAGGGGATTAGGCTGAAAATGTAGGTCACCCTCCAGCCATCTGGGAACTAGAATGAGTTAGTGAGGAGATGAGAGGGGTAGAGACATACGATGAAAAAAGGAGAGGAAGCAGAGGGCATGTAAGGGCAGTATAAAAGTGTCTCCAGTGGACCCATAATGATTAGATTTCAGTGTCTTTTGGTGGGCCAGAAGGAAGGAATAGAGTTTTCTGTTCTCTCTTCTCCCTCTGTCCTGGGGCTGGGTCAGCAAGAGTGGGAGAGGTTGAGGATCAGATGTCTCAGTCCTGGGATTCTCTGTGGGGAAAGTTGCTTTTCTTTCTGATGTGTTGGCTAACAGGGGAAGAAGGCCAGTTGGGGTGAAGGTGGGGCAGGGCCAGAAATGTGAGCATTTTTGCAAACAGGAAAGAGACCCCAGCAGTTTAGGTGAGAGTGGGTTTGGGAGACCTGTACTCTCCAAAGACACTTATGAGGGGCTTTGGAAGGCAAGAGTATCAGGAGCTTGTTTGTCCCTCTTTTCTAGGGCCAGGCTTTGAGTGACAGAGGGCTGAGCGTTGTGTTCACTTGGAGGGGTTCTGGTTGGGGCCCATGTGGCCCTCTGTGCTGGGGAACCAAGCACATGGTAATTGGATCTGTAAAGAGTTTTGCTGGCGAGGACACCCCTTTCCTTCTTTGAGAAAAGGCATACATGTCCTCTCCTCTCTATTCCCCTCTTCCCCCCAGGCCAATGAGATATGCAAATGATCTCCTTACCTCATTGGTTGGAGGCCTGAGGACCAAAGATGACCTCAGTGAGCTGGCCCTTTAAGAGTGCCCTTGGGACTCTGTGCCCACAGCCCCCTTGTTCTTAGCATAGAGACAGCAGGCTCAGCTCTATGGAGCCTCCAGTCTCTGGGGAAGCTGTGCCTGCCTGGCTCTGGCATTGACCACATCATCTCTGCCTTCTTAAAGTAAGTATGTCTGGGGCCTACCTGGGTGCCAGGCCTCTGACCTAGAGTCCCCTTCCGCAATACCTGCTATCTGGTCTCTGTTGTCTGTTTTCAGCAATCCTTACATTCTTTGCCCTGCCCCACTCCCACCCTGACTGGTCTATGTTATCCCTGCTATCACATCAGAAAGATGAGCCACCCTCCCCACTAACCTTTCCTCTGTACATGTAGTTCTCTCTGAACATCACTCTCAGTGTTTCATCATCTGCTCCCTGCCAAGGACCAGTTCCTTCAATCTATGCTTTTGTTTCCATCCCTCTGTCTTCTTAAAGGTGAGAGGCTCTGTAGAGAGGACAGTTACCCTTCCTTGAGACAGGAAGAGAGAGGCCTGGTGTTCTGAGATGTGGTTGGAAGGAAGGCTGCCTAGGCTTGGGCATGGAGATGGAGCCAAAGTCTAAACCCTGGGGATGGGCACTCTCTGCTCTGCCTTTTCTGGAGCTGGAACTGGAAGCTGGATGAAAGCTTGGACTTTACAGCTAAGAAGGATCTCTGAGGCCACCTCAGAGGTTCTTCAGGTGAACATGTCCTACACATGTACCCTGCTAACAGAAGTTTGGGACACTCCATGTTGAAGTTGAATAGTTTACTGAAGGACTTGGATTAAATATGCTCTTGTGCTTTGTGAATCTGCAAAAGGTCAGGAGAAAAGGCAACATTTCTCAAAATTATCTTCTTGAGTATTTCTCAGAATTAGTGTCCCACAGAACACTATCTGGGAAATGTTATAAAGTGTGATTTTATCAGGTAAAGTCAGAAGGTTAAACAGATCAGAAAGGCAAAGGTGATCTGCTCAAGGTCACATAACATAGCAAGTTCTCAATAGAAGGAGAAAAATCAAACTTGGAGAGATTGGCCTTGAGGAAAGATGGTGGCCACTCAGTCCACATCTTTCTGAAACTAATTCTAGGACCTTTCTTTTTTCCGTATAAAGTCTCTTGCTCATGTAAAAGGGATTCATTGACTGATTAATCCATAGAACAAATAAATGCACACGGAGGGTCTTCTATGTAAAGGTGCTGTCCTGAGTGCTTTGAGAGGTAGAGAGTATAACAGTACATTATCTTTATAACTTAAAATTTATATACCTTCCCACTGTTCTAAACTAAACACATACTCTGTCTCGGTTAATTAAGCATTTTTTTAAATTGCTTGTAAATGGAACGATGCCTCCTGAGATGACAGAGCCTCTCAGCATGTCTCTGCACTTGATTAGGAGTGCTGCCATATTGCTCTTGTTTTTCATAGATCCCAGAGGCACCAGTGGGGTGAGAGGCTATGCTGTCCTCTTCCTTCTTCAGGCCTTCAGCTACTTGTCCCCTGCCAGGAGCCTCTTGCTACCTGAAAGGGTACCCCTAGCCTGGAGGTGTCTGCAGGGAACAGGGCTGCATCATCACTCTGGGTTTCCAGAACTCTGGCTCCAGGGCACTTGAGCTTTGTGGGAAGAGGGCTATGGTGAAAGGGAATGGCAGGCCGCTTCTGTATGCACTAGACCTCTCCTCTTTTTTGCAGGTGCTTCCCTCCCCACCTGGCCCCAGAATGGCACTGCCCCCTAGCCCCCTGGCCATGGAATATGTCAATGACTTTGACTTGATGAAGTTTGAGGTAAAGCGGGAGCCCTCTGAGGGGCGCTCAGGCCCCCCCACAGCCTCACTGGGCTCCACACCTTACAGTTCCGTGCCTCCTTCACCCACCTTCAGTGAACCAGGCATGATGGGGGCCACAGATGGCCCCCGGCAAGGTCTGGAGGAGCTGTACTGGTTGGCAACCCTGCAGCAGCAGCTGGGGGCTGGAGAGGCCCTGGGGCTGAGTCCTGAAGAGGCTGTGGAGCTGCTGCAGGCTCAGGGCCCAGTCCCTGTGGAGGGGCCCCATGGCTACTATCCAGGCAGCCCAGAGGAGGCAGGAGCCCAGCATGCCCAGGTGAGTGATCAGCCAGGTGGCCTGAGGGGAGGCTGGCTGAGGGGGCAGGACAGCCCAAGACAGGAAGGAGAGTTGTGGAGAGGGTAATGAGGGTCAAGAGACAGGAGCATGAGAAGGGAAGAAGGGCTCTTGAAAAAAATCAGATAGGGAAAACTAAATTCTGCTCCTCTCTCTTTTTTCAAAATGGAGAGAAATGAGTAGGCCGAACCAGAAGGAACAAGGAGATGATAAGATAGAAGAAGACCCAAAGAGGAAAGGTTAAGTTGGGGAACAGCTGCTTATGGAGAGATAAATAGACACCCTGTGGGGAAACCAGGGAAAAGGTTGTGAGCAGATTGGAGTGGGGTTAGGACTGTGGTTCAGGTTGGCTTTTTCGAGACTTTGAGCTTCCCCAACCTCCAACTGTCTCAGGAAGGATTGGTACCATCCTATTAATTATAGACACAGATGAGGGTGTTGAGGGCATTAGGATGTAATCTAAATCCTTTGATAGGGTCACAGGGCTGTGGACTTGAGGACAGGAAAACGTGGGAGTTGGAGGGGCGGGTCCACTGGACATACGGGTCTTGGAGCCAGATGCTGCGGGTCTGGCCTTGGAGCTGGGCGTGGGGTTCAGATGCGCGATCAGCTCACCTGACCATGGGAGCCAGGGCCTGTGCCGTGGAGCGGGCCTTAAGCGGCGCCGAGTGTGGTGCCAAGGGCTAGCGAAAGGGTCCCCCGGGGAGGAGGGGGCCGTCAGGACCTCGGAGAGGTCTGGACTGAGCTTTTATAGAAAGGGCTAGTAGCATCCAGGTAAAGGTGGAGCTTTCCCGAGAGGGGGCCAGGCTGGTATGGTGACCTCAGCCTGGATCCAGGTGAGATCTGGCCTGACCTGATCCCGCCACTCTCCTTTCGCAGCTGGCTGAGAGGTTTTCAGATGCGGCGCTGGTCTCCATGTCTGTACGGGAGCTAAACCGGCAGCTGCGGGGCTGCGGGCGCGACGAAGCGCTGCGGCTGAAGCAGAGGCGCCGCACGCTGAAGAACCGAGGTTACGCTCAGGCCTGTCGCTCCAAGCGGCTGCAGCAGCGTCGCGGGCTGGAGGCCGAGCGCGCCCGCCTGGCGGCCCAGCTGGACGCGCTGCGGGCCGAAGTGGCCCGCCTGGCCCGGGAGCGCGACCTCTACAAGGCTCGCTGTGACCGGCTGACCTCGAGCGGCGCCGGGTCGGGGGACCACGCCCACCTCTTTCTCTGAACCGCTTAGAGGCAGAGTGGTGTAGGAGGAAGGTGGATGAGTGGGGGCATCCCCAGAAGGCATCTGCACAGTTCATTGGATCTTTACCAAGCGTCTTCTGGTCCCAGCTACCCCAGTATGACCACACACATATCCCCAAACTTCCTGGACCCTCAAGGAATGCCGGAGTTCCGATGCTGGTCATTTGCTGGGAGAGGAGTCCCCTCTCCTCACGCGGGCCATGCACAGAAATCCAGCCCACAGGACTAGAACTCTGAGCTCTTGCAGGTGGAAGCGTAGTGAGCCAGTGAATGGGAAGTGGGGAGTGGTGCAGCTATCCCCTTAGGTTAATTTTTAATTCAGGGTTTTCAACCTGTAGTGCATTAAGGCTGTAATTAGCAAAGAGGCTGTATTTTCATTCCGAGGTTTTTAGCCTCCTCATTTTAGGGTTACTGCGTTTTCAAGATTTCAATAGCTAGCCACACTAAGAAGTCTATCCAAAATATTTTTCCTCTGCCCAATCCCGTGATATTCAAGGTCCAGAGCAGCAAAGTCCTGAGGAGTGAGCTCTGGGGATGGGTGGTGTGGGTTGAGGGACAACCCCAGGCAGAAGTCTGGAGACCTGGGCACTAGTCTCAGCTCTTCCATGGGATCCCTCTGTCACTTTGAGCAAATTGATTGCTTCCTGGGCCTCAGTTACTTTATCTAATCTTCATTTGGATTGGATGACTTCTGATACCTTACCAGTTCTGGCTTCTCCCCAGTGTGGGAGTCCTAATGGTCTCCCCAAGAAGTCCCCAATTTGACTTCACCAAAGGGACCTCTTTCTTGTCCTGTTCCATTTTCCCAGTGCAGCCTAGGTAGTGGCTGAACAGCCCAGGGGACGAAGCATGGCTACTCTGTGAGCATACACATGAGTCCCTCCTGCTCTCTCCAGACTGCTTTGGCCTCCAGACATGCATAGGGTGCCCCTGCTACCTCCTGCCTCTCTGCAGGCTGAAGCAAGACTTTACCCAGGACAACAAGGAGCTGAAAGAGCACAGCTTTTGTGAATTAAACTTGAAATCCAGGGAGAACTCTGATGCTATTGGCAAATATTCTTGCAATTTAAGAAGTCTTCCTTCTTTACCCTTGCTTCAGGCTACTGTTTTGTGTGTATGTGGGAGAGGGAGAGACAGAGAGAGGGAGAGAAACTAGGAAGTCCCCACCTGGAGCTGAGTGGCACATCTCAGTTCTGGAGAGCCAAAGGAAATGGTGTGGAGGGGTGGGCATTGGGCCAGATGGATCCTTTCCCCACCACCACCATCACCATGCGCAGGAGCTGCAGCAGACCAGCTAGGCCTGCCTGTGGCTATCCTGGTCTCAGAGTTGCCATGGTAACCCAGCCCGCTAGTTAAGCAGCCTAAGGGGAGGGCAGGTGGGGCCTCTGAGCAGAGCATAGGCATTGAGCTGGGAGCAGCCACCTGACCAGTCACTGTCATCTGATCTCTAAGGGACATAATAAATGGGAGAAGCTGGTCTGTTGGGCATGGGAGAAGAGGCTTCCATATGTCTCTCTTCCTTCCTGCCCCCTCTACCCACCCCCTCCCCAGCTGTCTCTTCTCCCTCCATCACACTTCTTGGTCCCTCCTCCCCCTTCTCTAGCCCAGCTCATCCCTCCTGCATTCAGGAGCCTGCAATGGGAGTTCTCTCCTCCAACCCCCTTGGAATTTCTCTCTTCTCTCCCTTCCCCACCCCACCATTGGCCACTGACCATCTTCTCTACTGTGAGCCTCTCCTCCTTTGTCCCCTTCCCCACTCATTGTTGAAGGAAGGGTCCCTCTGGGAGCCCAGCTCTTTCCCTCTCATTGAATTTTACCTGTATCTGTCCTCACCTACTGTCTGGAGCTGCAATCCAGACCTGCTATTCTTGCTTATTTTTCTTACCTGCATAGCACACAAGGGCAGAGGTACCCATCCACAGTTGCCTGTGAGCACAACTAGGCCATCGATATAGTACAAACACCTGGGTCTCAAGATGATACAATTGGGTCACATGGATACACCTCCAAAAATTTTTGCATACTGTAGTGATTAAGAGTGTGGATGCTTTAATCACATGAGTCTGGGCTAAAATTTTGGTTACCAGTTTTTTGACCATGAGTGAGTTAAAATCAAGTCTCAGTTGCTTTATCAGTGAAATGGGGAAAATAATGATAACTACCTGGTGAGAATGAAGGCACTTAAAGAAGCACTTACCACAAAGCATGGCACTGAAATAATGATCTTTGTTGTTGTTATTGACATTATCTTTAAGCCTAAGTAGCTGGACTTCCTGAACAATTAAGGCCACACTCACGGAGAGTCAAGGATGCATAGTACATGAACACACACATTCACACACCTAGGAAACCAGGATGTCCAGGCCTTAGATTCCCCTTCTACTTCCCAATTCTCTAGCAGATCTACCTCTTCAGTCCCCCCAACATCCTTTCTTGGTTTGCCCCACAGCTGTGTGGGGGCTGGGATTCATCTCCTGGGGTGCTCAGCAGGGGCTCTCTGGAGATAGCTCTAAGAGGGATCATCCTGCCCCCCTCGACAACCCCTCATTACCCCCCTATCTCCTGTAATTAGCATCCATGGTGCCTGGACACCTGGGGTTGGAAGATGAGGGTGGGGGCAACTTAGATCCTACTGGCACATACTTGGGATAAGATTGCGGAGACAGAAACCTGCCTGGGGAACTCTGGCTCAGATTTTAAAAGGTGCTGGTCTTCCTCATTTCTTGTGTATGTGGGATACTATGGGCTGCCCAGTGGGCATTTGAAGCATGATGGGTAGAGGCTGAAGTGCTAGGAGCAGTTCCCTTTATTAATGTCCAGAAAGTCAGGATCACCAAAGGAAGTCACTGAGGGGCCACAGGGGTGAGTGGTATAGGGCTTAGAGAGATGGGGCAGACCCCACCACTCACTTCCAGAACCCAAGGGGCACAGCTGGTCCAAGAGGTGGAGGCATTGGTCACTCAAGTCACGAGGGTCAGGACAGGCACCTGGGAGGGAGTGGGAAAGTCATAAACACCATCCTCTACACTACACCGCGCCAAGGTGAGCTCCACCAAGCCCTACTTGTGTCCACTTCTATAGGCCCCCAGGACTCACTGAGAGGTTGAGGGAGTGTGGGTCCGCAGCGAGCAGTCATGGGCTAGAGCTGGGGGTCGTGGCCGGCGTGCAGGGCCTGGGAGCCCCAGGGTTGATGCCCTGGCTGGCATAGTACTCCACCACCTGTCTGGGTACTTCTGCCAGGACACACTTAGCTAGCGCAGAGGGGGCAGCCTGGGCATGGGGATGGTGACATGGTTAGGAGTGGAGACTGTGGGAGGGAACGTCAAACGAAGGAGAGGGGGACCATGGGGGTAGCCAGCTGGACTTGAGTCCTTCTCATGACATCAGTGTTTGGGAGAGACACTGTAGATCTGGGGGCAAAAGGAGCTGAGGAGTACTTCCACCAGGAAGTGGGGATTGGGCACTCACATCCTTGAAGTCTCGGAAGGGCACAAATTGGACGATGTCGCGGGCTGCTGGCACTCCTCGGGGGCAGCGCAAAGGTCCATCGTCGCCATCCAGCAGCCGCATGTCGGAGAAATCGGCATTGCCCACACCCACAATGATGATAGACATGGGCAGGCGCGAAGCGCGAACAATGGCAGTGCGTGTCTCAGCCATGTCGCTCACCACGCCGTCCGTGAGAACCAGCAATACCGAGTACTTCTGAGAGTAAGCAGAGGGGGAGAGAGGGTCGGCTCTGTGTATAAGTGTCCCGCCTCAAGCCCACGCCCTGGCCTCAGCACCATCTGAGGACACGCAGGCAGCTCTAGGTTGCCTGCTGCGTCTCCTCACCGTGGCTTGGCCGGTGCTTTGCTCCCTCTGGGCTGGCCCAGCCACGCGGTTGATGATGGGGGCCACATTGGTGGGACCATAGAGCTGGATCTGGGGCAGGCAACGGCGGTAGGAGGCGATGACCCCTGAGATTTCTGAGTGCAAAGATGAGAGGTGAAGCTGGCAGAGATTAGCAGGGGGTCTCTCCAGACACTAAAGCAAGGAGGTGCTTCTAGGTCCCAGGACTGCCTTCCACCCAGGTTCCTCACTAAGCAGAGAGAGTTGGGTGGGTAGATGCTGGGCCATGGGGCTGGAGATCTTACCAAATGAGTCAGAGTCAGGTATGGATAGGTGGGGGTGGAGTCTGTGCTCCTGGATGGATGTGCAGGTATGTGCATGGGGGCAGGCGTTGGCAGGAATCTCCTCCCTCTTACCTTCACATTCAGGATTTTCCGGGTCAAAGTTGATAGCAAAGTCATGGGACACCTGGGTGTGAGAGCAGTAAGGGGGTATCTTTTCTTCCTGTCTGACTTGCCCACCATCTCCTACCTTCCCTGGCAAACAGCCTACCTCAAAGTTGGGGGGAATCCGAGCTCCAAAGCCGAAGGCTGGGAACCGTTTATCACTGAAAAGAAGAAAAGGCTGTGGGGTTCCTCAGATGTCTCTGCCTGCCCCCCTCCAACCTCCTCCTACCTGTCATAGTCCTGGCATATGCCTCCCACAGCACGCAGGGCCTGCAGGTAGTGGTTGGGCTGTCTGGGGCTGAGGCAGTGTAGTGACTGACTGCTCCTTGGATCCCCATTGGAGGCAGTGAAGTCAATGGCCACCTGATGGGGGTGGGGTGGGGAAAGGGCCATGAGAGCCGGTGGGGAGGTTAGGCCTAGGCCAGGTCTGTAGGGGAGAATAAAGATGAGTCTGGGGAGCCCACAGGTAGCCCCATCATGGAGTGGGATGGGGGTCGGGGTGAGGTATGAGCTGGCGGTACTGAGGCTCTTGAGAAGTGGCTAGGTGGGTGGGGAGGGGGAAGAGGACAGTGGGGATTCTAGTCTCCTGTTCACTGTGGCCCCTCCCTCTTGCCTGTGTCCCCATCCCTTGGGTCTTTACCGTGAAGCTGATCTGGCAGCCACCCATGATGTAATCCAGGAAGGTGTGTACCTTCTCCACCTGGTGGTAGGGGGAGGGGTTGGGTGAGGGGATGGGGTGGTCCTCTGAGGAGGGAGCTTGGGTAGGTAGGGTCTCTGTGGGGAAAGTGGGGGGATCAGAGTTTTTGAGAGTGCAGTTGGGGGTGAGCTAGGGCAAGAGTTTGCAGAGAAACCCATCTCTGAAACAAGGGAAGGGTTGAATCTGAAATTGTGTAGGGGCAAGGGCTGGGGCTGGGGCAAGTCTTGGGGCAGAAGCTGGAACTTACTGTGCACTGGGCCAGCACTACTGTCCCTGAGCTCTTGTAATGCTTCTTCTTGTCCCGGTACTTGGGGTTGATACAATCCCACTGCATCTAGACCCCAACCACCCCAGAAATTGAGAGTCACAAGTCCATCGTGTGACCCCTTTCACCCCCTTCTGGCAGAGCCTCCCAGGGTGAGACCCCCATGGAGTCTCTTCATCCTTAGCTGAACCTGGATGATTTCCACCCTCTCCATCTCCTGTCACCTACAGTGGTCTCTTCAGCATCACCCTCAGGATCTTCCCAGGGATCTGGGTAGGGTATTGGGGGTGGGGTCTTTTTGGCACCTCCTGTCCAGGGTTCGCTGTCCCTTCCTGCATCTCCTGGAAAGTGCTGGTGAACTCCCCGATAAAGTCATGCTTCCCACTTGAGTCATAGTCATACACTAGGAACTGAGAAGGAGCAGAGGAAGGGGTCAGGTCAGGGATGCTCTGCAGTGGTTCATTGGGTGGAGGGGACTCAGGGGGGCAGGGGTCTTGCAGTCCCTAGGTCAAAACAGATGACCTTAACCTGTCCAGAGTGGCCACCTGCTAAACTTGCTCAATCTGGCAGGGACTTTGGCCACCAATAAAGGCACACATATGGGAAGCTTAACATTGAGCTGTGACCTGTTATTTATCCCACGGGAGAAGTGTTTATCTATGGGAGATAGGGAGGAGCTTGCCACATGGAGGTGGGGAGGGGTCTCAGAAGCAGTATGGATGCTCCAGGTAGGCTGTGCTTGCTTGGGTGGGGCTTCACCTTGAGAGGCCGGTGGATATCACAGCTGCATAAGGAGTGCAGGGACAGGCGGAATGGCTCCCAGCTGGGGTTCAGGTTGTTTTTTACCACCTTGGAAAGGCACCATGGAGTTGGTCACATCCTGTCTAGGTTTTCTTACTCTTTCTCCCTCTATCCCCATAGCCCTAGGCACCAACCTCCGTCCTCCAGACCAGCTGGTCACTCTGGTCCTCATTGGTCTTATAGATCTCCATGAAAGGGTCGGACTTGCTGAACAGATCCTGAAGATACAGGGGAAAGGGCCTCTGAGTCTGGTGAGGTCTATAAAGAGGGCAGAGGAGGGGGCCAATACCAGGAAGGGAGCAGGCCTGGGCCCTTGGGATCTGTCTTTTGAGGGGGAGGCCTAGGACTAGCAGAGGAGATGGGGGCCTGGGCTCTGGAGTTCCAACCTTATTGTCCAGCTTGTGGGCTCTGAAGGTGAGTTGCACATAGTCATTGGTGCCAGATACCTCCTCGGCCACGATCTGCAAGGGGAATACAAGTGGCAGAACTCCCCTCCACCCTGTAAGGATCACCCTAGGCCCTTTCCTTTAGGTAGGAGTGGTCATGGGCATGATGTCACCATGGATGTCCATGCAGGGGCACTGAATGCCTGGCCCAAAGGTAAGTACAGGTGACCTTGCCTACCGTGATGGTGGACTTGCCCGCAGTCTTCCCATTCTTCAGCAGTAATGGCTTAGTGACCTTGGTTTGTGACACAATCTAGAGATGGAGGTGAGACAGAACCAGCATTGACACCCACACTTGCCTTGGTCATAATGAGGGAAATATTATAATAAATGTCCTATATGTGTCCATAAAGGCTGGCCTTTGACTTGGGTGAGGATTGGACACAATTTCTATGGTAGCTTTAAGAAAGAGGCACTATGATCTCCTCCACCATTTTTAGATGGCGAAACTAAGACTCAGAGAGGTTAAGTATCTTGTCCAAGACTGCACAGCCAGTGAATGGCAGAGATGAGATCCAAGCCCAGTGGAACTGGCTCCAGAGCTCATGCTTTCTCCTATTTTGGCTGCCAGGGGCAGGAGCTGGTGGGGGTAGGGTGGGGGTGGGTGGGAATGCAGACCTGGCCCAAGGTGCACTCTGTAGAGCCGAGGAAAGTGTCATTTCGGGGGCTGGTGGCTCCGTCCTCAGCATCAAACACATGAAACTGCAGGGGCTGCTTCTCCTCAAAAAAGTACTCAAGGGCCAGTACCCGGGAGAAGACAGGGCTGGAACAGGAACGAAGCACCTCCGTGCGTTCCACCTGTGGCAGGGGGGAGGTGAGGGCTCTCTGGGAACTGAGGATACTTTCCCCTGCCCTGAACTGCTTTGGTCATGCCAGCTTTCGCTGAGCCCCACATCCCCAGCGACTAGCTCATGTCTTCCTAGGCTGATCCCTGAGCGCAGGTGCTGCCTACCCACTAGACCATCCGCCCTCTGTGGCTATCATAAGGCCTTTGGGAGTGATCCTACTGCCTCTGGAGCAATCTCAGGATCCTCTGAGACTGTGGGCTTTTGCAGCTGTAAAATTGTTTGTGTTTGTAATGATGGCACACCCATCTCCAAGGGTTACCCATGTGGCCTAGAAAAGGCCCTCGGAGTCCTCACATTCCCTGAGACTTTCACTGCCCTCATCCCAACCTCCCTCCTTCCCAGGCTTAACCCAGGTTAGTTAAGGAGAATCCCAAGCTGCTCTCACCTCCACCCACTGCTCATCAGAGTAGAGCTTGAGCAGCACACAGGGGTGGGGCTTGGAGAGTGTGTCCCGGTCCAAGAGGCCATGGCAGGATACTCGTAACTCCACTCTCGAGGCCCCTAGAGTCATGGTTGGGGGCTCAGGTACCCATCCCATCTCAAGGTCCGCCATGTCACTGTGGAGATAGAGCAAGAGGCCTGGACCTTGGAAAGAGAACACCTGCTATGGGAGGGGTCTGTCCCCCAGGAGCACAGGCCCAGCCCCTTGCCTTCCTTCTTGAGACCCTAGAGTCCCACAGTCCTCCTGCTTCCCCAGCCCTCTGCTCACTCCCCTGGAGCTCTGAGGAGGGGAGGGCAGACGACCTGAACATCCCACTCCTGCACAGGAGCACCATGCTTGTCACATCTGTCCGCCTAGGTATGCAGGGCTGGGGTTGGAGAGGGCTGGAGGGTTGGGGATGTTCCTGGCAGTCTCGGCTCCTAGGCCATCGATTGATCCACACTTTCTGCTGCCTCAGCACCTTCTGCTGTTTCCCGACTGGTGTCTGAGCCAGCACTGCACTCAGTCTTGGCAGGAGGGAACTGAACTGGGACAAGGGGGTGGGGCAGGGGATGGATAGGCCCCTGAAGGTCTGAAGGGAATGGGTCTCCGGAGTGGAGTTTGCAGTGGGCAGGAGACAGAAGACGGGACCTGCTGCTGCACTTTCCCTGTCCATTCCCTGCCCCCACTCACCTTCTGGCTGGTTGATGGAGTGGAGGGGTGGTGGGCTTGGGGAGGTGGAAGAAGGACCTGGGCTCTGCTGAAAGCTCCTCCAGCCTCCTGGCAGGGGCTCCCACTATGACAAGCCTCACATCCCTCCCCACCTCCCTTGTTCTCACACTTCTTGGCAGCACTCGCATTGTCTCTTAGCGACAGGATTTTTGGGGAGCCGCAGCCCCCTCCATGCTGCCTGTGGGATGCACGCACGCCACCCTCCCCCCAGCAGTGGTACCAAGCCTCAGGCAGAAGCAGGCAGGGGTACGCTGACCCAAGTTCATGGCTGGTCAGTCCATCTCTCTGTGTCTGTCCAGATCTCAGGGTGAGGTTGTCTGATCCCATGTTGTGCTTCCCCAAGTGAATGTGCCTTGGTATGTTTGAGTGCCCATCTTCTGTGTGTGTCCCCCACCCCCCTACCCATTGTGTGTCCATCTCCAGGAGGGTGTGACAGTTCTTGTACCTCCCTCAGAACTGGGACTGTGGCTGGGTACCCACCACCCCATAATGTATGCCTTTCTGGATATGTGAGGGAGGGTCTGGGCAGGGGTGTGTAGGGGTCTCTACCTTTTAGCCACAAGTCTCCCAGTTATCATCAGTCCCCTGAGATAGGCAGAGGCATGTGGTGGTAAAAGGATTGAGCAAGGTTTGGACCTCTCTGGGGGCTATAGGAGGTGTTGTTATGGAGACTGGGCCAACCTGGGCTGGAGTGGCCCAGGCTGGGCTAGGGAGGAAGGGTGGGCTCACCTGGGTTTCAGTTGGGAGCTCCTCTCTCCGGCCCTGGGTCCCTGGCCCTCCCTTGCTGCTCCAGCCGCTGGCGCCGGCTCTGGCTCCGGCTCTGCTGCTATTTATGGGGCCTGGATGGGGAGGGGTGGGGGGGCCGCAGCACCAGCTCCCCCCGCACAGATGGATTGGGAGGGAGAAGAGGGAAGGGGCAGGGCCACTGCCTGGGAGGGAGCCACAGAACCAGGGGAGGAGGGCGGGCTGGGGGTGGCTCAGAGGCAGGACCCCCGCAGACACAGTGACACACATCTTCCCCTTCACGCCACACCCACACCCAGAATCACAGAGATGCACACATTGCAGTGGTGCGTGCACACAGGCACATTCACACAGAGAAATGGTGGCGATGCATGCACCCACGACTCACAGACTCACACATATCTTAACATGCACAGGTGCCAGTACATAAACTCACTGTGACACCATGACAGTTACAGCCCCACAGATACACGCTGGGAAACACACCCAGTCTTACGATACTTTTGATATCATTACATTTGTTAAGGATATCTGCAGTCACATATAAAAGAACACTGGGCTGTCCTTGTCACACATGCACATACACTCACTTCAACTCGGAATACAACAGAATGGAGATCTTACACGTGCCTTAAAAGCCGTCACGGACCTTGCTGAACCTCACAGCTTAGAGGATGATATCCAGATCTTAAGCCACCTTTTTGTAACAAGACACAGGAAATGGATGTGACGGCTTGAGGACACACAGCCTCATGTCCTGGTCATGCAGCTCCTGAAGACAGGAGTGTGTGTGGGGATATGTTGAAGAAATGACTCCCAAGACTTCTTCCCGATGCCACAATATACCCAACACCCCCCAAAATTCAATTATGATGGCCATATTCTTGTGGGAGGGGCTGGGCCATGCACAGATCTTAAGGAAACAAGATATTAGTCATTTGTTGTGAGACCAGGGTGAAGTAAGCAATTGCCTGGGAAGCTGCGGGCTACATGTGAAGAAATTTAGGCACGTGGTGATTTGGGATGAATAAGCAAGCGCTTTCACCAGGACACCTTCACCCTCCATCTCCTTAAGTTGATCAGATATTGATATTAGTGTAGCTGCCATCTATTGACTGTCTCCTGGGTGTCAGGCACTATGCCTAGTTCTGGGGCTACACAGGTAATTAGGACACAGCCCTGGCTCCTGGGGAGCAGACATACGTGGAACAGAGAGACTATAAGCCAATACACAAATGTGATTAAGTGTAGCAAATGTGAAGTTATGGACTTGCTCAGGATGCAGTGGGGGCAAATTAAAGGAGGCTTCAATTTGGATGAGTGAGGAAGGAATCAGGAAGGGCTTCACAGAGGAAGAGGCTTTTGTGTAGGGTCTGGAATGCCAAGGTAGTATTTGTTAGGACACCCTGAGAGATATTAACTTAATTATTGGCTTCTCATGCTGTGGAGATGTCTGTTCACTTATAAGCCACTGGGAGATTTTTATTATTGAGGGTGCCCCAGGGTGACACACTACCATGTAATTCCACTATTGGTGTGTACACACATATGTATGCATGCACACACACACCATGCTCTCCAATCTCCCTCTGGCACTCTGGAGTCTTCCAATCCCTTCACATCCCCAGAAGCCAGAGAGACACTGGTGCTAGTTTCTGTTATTTTGGTTTCTTCTCCAGCCATGTCAGCCCTGACCCTGCACCCTGGTTTAGATATTTATCAGTCCCCTTCCCTTGACAGGTGTCTGTTCTTTCTCCCTCTCCTCTCAGGACCCCAGCGTCATCCCTGAGGAGTGTTCCTCACTTCCCTATTGTGACCAAGCTCTGAGGAGCTGTGGGAAGGGAGCAGAGGGTGGGGCAGTGAATGGGGAAGACAGCAGAGACTGGAAGCAGGCAATGATTTTGTTTTTTTATTCTATACAAGTGGGAAGAGAGCCCCTGGGGATGGAGGGACAGAGATCCCTCTTGGGGAGAGGAGACAGGCTCCATCCCGAAGCTCTCTGCAGAGTGAGGCATTGAGAGCCTCTCTCTCTCCAGGTTGCTCCCTCCTTCCTTGCCCCCCCTCCTGCCTCCCCACACTTGGTCCTGACGTCCTACCCTGTAGGACAGGGCTTGGCAGGGAGCCTGGGGGAACCGGGGTGTATGGGGATCTGAGTCCTTGTGAGGCACATGTCGAGAGGAGGGCTGGGAAGGATATGGCAGCTGTCAATCTGTTCCTGGCTCACTGGTTCCTGTTGGGGACAAATCCAGGGAATGTGTTTCCCTGGGCAGGGAGAGCCAGCCACCCAGTGTTAGGGTTTGGGGGGTGCCATGTTGGATAGATGGGTGGGAAGGGAGACCTGCCCCCCTCATCACTGGCACCTGTGGGGTCAGGGGCCCGTCTTCTATCAGGTTCCAGCTTGTCACAGGACTGCGCCCGCCGTGTCCTCTTAGGCTTCAGGGGGGCAGTCCGGCGACCTGGATCAGGGGGCCCTGAAATAACAGTCAAGGCAGGCTTGGCACATGAGTGGAGTATACAGGCTGAGGTATTCATCCAGGCCATGAATCCTGGTTGTCATTCATCCCATGACCTGGAAGAAGACCTGATATGGACAGTAAAGTCCCAGAGGTGCTGGATCCCTCCCCGCTACTCAGCTAGGGTGCAAACCTTGGACCTCAGCCTCCTCTTGGTCTTGCTGTGAGCCCAGCCGTAGCCGGGGTTTGTTGACTCCTGAGGCTGCACCAGCAGCCTCTACCTCCTCCCTGCCCCCTGGCTCTTGGGGGGCCCAGCGGCCCCTGGGTATAGCCACTGGCTTGGGGGGCCGTGGAGCTAAAGGGGGATCCTGCAGCTGGCAGAAAAAGGAAGATGCTAGGTTAGTTCCTTTGTCTCATCAGAGTGCCTTCCCCACCCACCTTGATGGCCCTCACCTTGGCGTTCCTAGTTGGAACTGTCCTCTCTGGGAATAGGATCCCCTCCTTCTCCTCCTCCCCATCTTGGGAGGCTGGGCTGGGGCTCTGGCAGCTGTGGTTGGGGGCACTCTCCTCAGCTGAGGGATGGCAGAAAGGAGAAGCTGTAAGAAAAGGCATTCTTGCATGGCCCTTCCTGTCTCTTCTGTCCATGAAGCCCCAGGGGCCAGGTCTTCCCCTCCAAGCCCATTTGCTCCTCCATCTCTGCCTTTGATGCTCCCTTCTATCCCCACCATTTCCTTGGCCCTTGGTCCCCAGGATTTTCCTGAGGCAATCACCTCTGGAGGGGGTCCTGGCCTAGCTACCCCATTTGCAGAGCAGTATCTGACCCCCTTCCTATTGGGCAGAGCCAGGGCCAAGGGCTTGCTGGGTCCACAGGGATGGCTGCCCATCCAGGGCTGCAGTGTCTAGGGGCCCTGCCAAGGCTGCAGCCTGGCATTCCCAGAACTCTGTCTGACAGTCTGATTTAGATGGAGAGGTGCCCTGGTACACTCATCCTCTGCCCCTGTAGCTGTAAACAACATGAGCCTTATGGGTATGACATTGGAAGATGTTGTCTATTAAGTGAGTTTGAGAGTAACCTGGAAGTGTGTGTGCAGTGGAGCATCTGACTATTGTGGTTTCCTAAATGAGGAATAAACCCTGTTTGGGAAGGATTAACTAGTCTGTGCAAGATGGGAAAATCAGAAAAGATGTCCCTAGTGCTGAATTGGCCTCTGCGAATGAGACAGGGACAAAGGCACTGCCATGCCCCAGGGCTGCTGGTTCTGCACTACAGGGGAGGGTGGGGTGAGGCAGGATGGGCAGGAGGGGACAACAGGGAGCAGATGACTCAAGCCACATCCCCTGCTCAGCTCCTAGCTCTTTCCAGCCCTAGCACCCTAGCCTGGGGGTGGGAGTAGAGGAGGGGGAGGGGATGTTTACATCTACAAGGAGATTTTGTCTCTTTGTGGCAATATTGTTGAAGAGTCATATTCCAGGCCTCTGGGAACTTAGGTTGAAGCTGAGCCGATCTGCATCAACCTTCTAAGCGAGATTTCTTTAGTGGCTCTGTAAATGGAAGGTGCTCTGAACTCAGCAAAAGGCGAGTGTCATGCCTGGAATCATCCCCCTCCTTTTATTCCTCTAGTCATGGAGCCAGAAAGTAAATTACTTGTTTAACTTCATGGGTGGCTGAGTCAGACTAATATCCAGGGTTTCTAACCTCTAAGGCAGAGCTCTTGCCCTTTCTTTGGGGGTACCTTTCTGAGTGAGCTGCGAGTGGGTTGATGAGCTACTTCTGGAGGAGGCTGAAATGTTTTGGGGTGGGCCTGGCATAGCTGGCACTGGCCGGCAGTTTGACTTGCCTACCTTCTTCCCAAGGTCTGGAGAGAGGCCTTTCTATAGGAGACCACTGTGTTGATAGTGATCAGAGGTGACATCTGACCTAGAGAATTCACTGGAGCCATCCAAAAGCATTGTTCCTATCTGCCAACCTTGGTGAGGCCACTTTTGCTCTGCAGAATCTTTCTTGGGATTAAGCTGTTTGTCTCATTTGGATATAGCTTTGTAACTATCCTCAAACATTTTCATATTGTTGACATCTCACTGTCCCCATTTTGGTTATAAATTCCCCCATATAGGGGTTATGACTTTCATTTCTTTGGACACACCCTGGGCCTTCAGTGCTGCTGCCCGAGAAGAGGCTTTCCATACCTATGTGCCATGTGGCCTCTGCACGGCGCATGGCGCTGAAGCTTGGCTTGGTGCTTTGGGGTGGTGGTGGGGGCTTCCAGGTTCCAGGCCCTGGAGTGGAGGGTGGGGTTGGGGAAGGAAGAAGGTGGAAAGGCAAAGGCAAATTAGGAGGGGTCCCTGAGAGAGGGGGTAAAGGAAGGGAGTAAGGGTGGCCATCCTCACCTGCATCATCTGAAGAGCGCCGTTTCTGCCAAGCCTGGGCACTGCCCTCCAGGTCTGGGCCTGTGCCCTGAAAGGACAGCTGAGTCAGGTTATAAGAAAAGTCCCCTCCATGGATGACTGCATCTCCAAGGTCTTCTGCTCTAGCATCTCCATGTCACTCTGATGTCAATGGTCCCTAGATACTTGGATGGTGTTTCCCAAAGAGTGGCACCCGTACCACCTTTGGGGCACCAAAAATGGTTTACACAAATGAACATGCTGCTATCTTAATAGTTACATGTTTATTTTATGTGTAGTAGAAAAAAACAAGACTATTATAGAGAGCCTGTGATTTTAGAGATGATAATGTTTAGGTCCAGACTAAGTTAAAAAATGAGTTGATTTAAATAAAAATAAGTAAGTAATAACTTAGGTGGCACACAGAAAAGGTGAA